CAACATTAAAGACAAAAAAAATACACACCGTCTTTTTGCGCAGTTATATGAAAAAAATGTCTGCTACAGTTATACCTGATAAAACACTCAGCACGTCCAGAAGATGCTGCATGAAATACATTTAACACGTGTCCATTTTTTTTTTTAGAAATTGCTTTTAAAATCATGCGTTGTCATCATGCACGCGAGCATAAAACACTTCCCCGTACAGTGGTTCAACATCCAAACAAACTAAAAAGACTCATCACCAACAAAGAACCAGCATCGCGCATATGCTCAATCATCATTATTATTATTCAGAATAGTGTCACATTGCTAGCTATAAGCAAGTAACGCACTATAGCCTGGACAAAATACTGCATTGCGTTTTCCTCCAACAGCAACAACTCACACTCTACATGGCTATCACACGGAAGCATTGCCGTGTTAAATATAACCACAGTGATTCCACAAAGGTTATCGTGTAGGACATTAACTGAGCACAGAGAAGTGAACACTCATATTATTCAAACACAAATGCGCAGGTGATAATGCATATATTGCAAATATATATTTTTCCAATTTGATAACTACAAATGTTTTCTTGTATTTTCAGTCTGCCACACAAGACCACTCGTGTCCATGTTGTCTAACCTATTGCCGACTTCATTCTTAGCACTGGGTCACAGCACTGAAGTCTTCAAGCCTACGGCACACATTTGTTATTTGGTACAACATCATCACCACCACCAGCACTACCGCTGTACCGTGATACATTTACTAAAGGCGGTTGAAGGTTTTTTTTCTCTCGATGAAACAATGAACGAAACCTCACTTCCAGGGGTCGGCAAGCAAAACAAGAGCCATCGTTTTCGAATTGGGTGAAAAAAAAATCAATATCAAGAGCAGCAACACACGTGAATACGAGACACGGTGGGGTCTTTAATAAATAAAATCATGAAGCAGTCACTTACAGAGCCGCACGCGGCTCCGGAACCGCAGATTGGCTCGCAACGTAGCACGCCACCTCAAGGTGTACCCACACCTGAGTGATCAGCTGTGTCTGATATTCAGTAGCTACTTATAGGTAACCACATGCCAGTTTAAAAAAATGTTCATCAGGCAGCATTTAAAAAATGTTAATTCTTATCAGGCCCCACGGTGGTGAAAAGTGTAGCCTCTGACTCTTATTTACTATCGCTCTTGCGTATCTGTGTGTTACGAAGGACCATTTATCACAACGTCACCTATTAATCTATGATACATTTTTCCTTTTCAAGGCAGTGCCAATGACGGACATGTCGAGCTTGTTGCCGTGTGCGCCTGTGCACCACTGCCATCGCAGCATCACCAAGGAAGGTCGGGTCAGTTGCATGCAACCGATTTGCTTGTGTGCCAATGTGCATCGGTTGCCCGCCAATGTGCATCGGTTGCGCACATGCACGAAAACTATGGTAGGTCATTCGAATTGTGATGTGGCTGGGGGGAGGGGGTGGTGATGCAGCGGTTAGCGCTCTGCACTACGAACCCAGCCTCCCGAGTTCTATTCCCGCTCAAGGCCAACACCAGCGACGATTGTTTGAACCGGTCCTGGGCTTCCCCTGGGCCGACTCGGCCTCAAATGAGTACCTGGTGCGGTGTGTAAACATCGCCACTGGGGAGACAAAGGCGGCTGCCAGGTCTGGTGCTGGTCGCCCATCCCCTCGTGTGCCATGGCGGCCTTCATTGGGTGCTCACTAACACCACTTTTTTAGGCTATGGGGCAACTTTTCCTTTGTTAACCAGGATAAGGGCAAGGAGTCATGCTGTAGTGGGCATGACCAGACAATCTAGCCACTAACCCAGACACACCCTTGTTGCAGAAACTACTGCGATCCGGACAAAGCAGTTACAGACGATTCGGCTGCAATATTTTTTTTGGGAGAGATTTGGTTGCACGACTGATCGCTCAGGTGTGGATGCATCTTAAAATATTGAAAGCAACACGGAGGATATATATATTTCTTATATACACCAAAAAAAATTTCATTCGTGTTTTACATCACAGACTGAGCAGGTGATGGTAAACCAGCGTACGGCGACAGCGTACTATATCCGTGACTGCTCGAAAACAAATTAATATATCCGAAAAGAAAATGTCATATGTTTAGATTTTACACCAATGCGGCCCTTGTCCGCGCCTCTAACAGTCATCCGCTGATAAATTATCTAACGCCACGAAAGGACAACACACTTGGGAATTCTGATTTAAACTTCTGTCTGTGAGTGACGGTACGGCAAAGATACATTGTTAGAGCTTTCATTATACGGAGAAAATGCCTCGACTTTGGCCAGTCCCACATGTAAACGCCTGTGCCTGTGTCGACAAGCTCCATATAGAGGTGATAAAAACCGTCTAAATAGGTGAACGGGAAACAATGCCAAAGGTAACCAAAATCAAGCAAAACAAAGTACCACTATTTATTGGTATGATTAATAACATAAGTAAAAACCAATAGTAGCATTGTATCGCCTGAAAAGAGATACAAAAATCCACGGGTCACAGAGACGTAAAAAAAAAGATGATCACAACAGCTGTTGATCACCTTCTCGAATCCGCATAATTTAACGAAGGAAAAAGTCAGGACTTGCTTTCACACGTGCACATCTACGTGTGTGTGTGTGTGAGGGGTGGTCGAGATATTCAGAGAACGGGACTTAGAAGTACAAACAAACTCACATCGTTGTTCGCTTTAGTTTTTAAACGGCTATACTCAGAACATCCATGCACTTATCCGAGGCTATGGGATTAAAAAGATAGGCTTCAAATAAGTCTACGATTATCTCCCTGCAACTTTGCATTGCATCGTCAAGATTTTTTTAAATGCATAAAAATTAACGCTGTACACACGAGGAACCCGTGCGTTTTGTTTAACATTAAGACTCAAACTGTTGCCATAGGCACCCACTTAATGGTGAACATCCGCTGAAGACACAAGCGTAAAATGTGTCCGTTTTATATTCAGCCGTTTAGTGCCAAGACCCTAGTTAATTTTCATCCTCGGCCAACATCAGTGGCGAGCGGCGTCTAAAGTGGTCCCCTTCGAGTCTGACGTAGAAAGCGAAATCCTAGTTTATTTTTATTTTTTGTCGATGGCTCAATGCCAATATAGCCATCCAGCAATTTCGACCAGATGACAAGATATACCTTCTGCCACAACCGTAGTCGATGAGCGAGCAATCTGTTTAAGGCTTGCACGTTTTAATTTAAAATAAAAATGCAGAAGATTACCTCGACGTGAACACGTGGGGAAATTAAAGCTCTGGGAATAGAACCGCTACAGCGGTGCCCCAGACCCTCTTGATACACGCCGACGTCCTCACTGGACCACCAACCCCACACCCCACCTGAAATCAAGAAAGCCTTTTTGGACCGTCACTGCCGCTCCCCATCAAAGGTCGAAGAGCATCGGGCAACAGTGGCATATATAATACCCGGGAATGTGTGCCGCGTGACCTAATTCAGTAATTAAATGAAGACAACTATCTCTCTCCCCTCCCACGCAAGCAGACCTCGTGGGACGCGGGGGGACACCTGCTCCACACGTGGAAGGTGAAAGACTATCCGCCGCGTGACTGCGGAGCACCAAAACAAACCGATCGCTCACTCGGTAAACTCGTGCTCGCTGGACTCATTCTGGGCGACCGCGTGCCATTCTATTCACCGTCTCATGAAGCCATCGACTTGATTTTCTAACTTGGACATCGCGACTTATGATTGCCACATACAATCATTACGAAAGAAAAATAAATAAATTTCGGCCCAACATGTCCTAAAATAAATAAGCTACAATGACATTTGCACCGACTACAAAGATAAAAGCCGACGGGTTAGCGGGTGTTGCTACCCTTCGGGATCGTACAATTTTTGCAACCACTTGCAAAGAAGCAGCAGAACTGCCCAGCACAGGGAAGCAACACTTTTAATTCGTACTGCCATCTCAATACTCCGCCATAACTGTAACACGCTCCTGTTAAATGTCTCGCAATTCCATCGGTCTCAGCCCGGCTGCTGGGGCAATGGATTCTTCACATTGAGGGTGGTTCTCAATCTCTGCCTGTGGTCATTTTCTAACATCCAGTCAACGAGTGCATTTTACACATTGTTGGGCAGATGTCAGAATGGTTCCACACTCAACCGTTGTTATTTTTTTGGTACAGTCAGTGAAGATTTGCTTTCCACGGCTCAAGACTCTCTCCAATGCCCGACGTACCAAAAACGAATGGCTGAAGAGAATCCATCCACCGCTTTTGGCACATCCAGCCGACCACACTGCTGCTGAATACCAAAGCATGAGCTTCGTTGGCAGGCTGCTCACAAAGCCAGCTTTCCTTTCATTGACAAATATCGAGCTGTCTGATGGCCTGCCAAGTTTACTAAAGCAACGCCGGCTGGCCAACGGGAAGCTCATCTGAGCGAGAAATACTCGCAATTAACATCCAGGTGTGGCGCCCGATAATGCTTCCGTACCCCAAGCACAGCAGCAGCAGCACCCTCTGCCACGGCGGGTTACGAAACAAAAGCATCAGCAAAGCTCGGGTTGTTCCAGTTCCCGACTTCAACATCCGCCCCGAGAAAGCGGCACGGGCCTCTCTCTCACGATTGCCAAAACTCCCGCGGTTCGCGTGACCGACCGCCGCTATAGCGCAGACGCGACGTGTCCCCCCCTTCTCCCCCTGCCTCCCCCCTGCCCCCCCCCCCCGACGGCACGCGTGCGAGCTGTTTTTGCGGGAGCGGGCGGACGTGGCGCGATTTATCGGTGGGGGGTGGGGGAAGAGAGTGATTTTCGATTTGTTTGTTTGCTCGTTTCGCGAGATATTGTTCCGTTTATCGTTGTTGCTTTCTTCCGCCGGGTTGCTGCCCACCACGCTTCCTTCGCCGCCGCCCCCGCTTGGCTGCTCCCCACCACGGCAGGGGGGGGGGGGGGGGGGGGGGGGGGCGTGAACGCGTTACCGGCGAGGCCCGCACGGGAGGGGGGGGGGGGGGGGGGAGCTTTTATCTCTCGGCTTTGACGCGGATCCGCAGCACGACGTAGGCCAGCAGGCGCAGGCACAGGAAGAACACGGCTAGGATGATGAAGTCGAGGTACAGCTTGCCGTCCTGGACCGCAAGCTGCTCCAGCACGGCCGTCGGTTGCTGGAACGGGCAGAGGGTGGCCGTGGTGTTGCAGTTCAGCGCGGCGCGATCCAGCCCGTAGATGGAAATGAGGACGCCTTCGAAGCCGTACCTGTCGGCGCGGACGTAAACAAATACGAGTTTAGCGAGTTGGCAAGGGCTGTGGGTCCGTCTCCAGCGAAGGTAGAGGGAGCCGCAGCCTACAAGTAATACTGGGAAGGAAGAAGGTTCAACAGAATAACAGGACGCGCGAGAGCGAACTTCAAAATGGAACGAACGACGACGGGAAGGATTCAGCAAAAGACGACTGCTGCGGTTTCGTCAAAAGAATGCCACAAAACAAGGAATCCAGCAGGAGCATTGGCAATGCCTGTAGAGGGCAAAAGAAGCAGAGGACGACCAAGAAAAAGACGGGACTGGTGTGGCCTGGGGGGCGAGTCTAGAAGAGAGAGGGAAATGACCCAAAAACAATCAGCAGCAGATGTGATGTGATGATCATCACCAGCAGAGGAGGACTGTTTGCTGCTGCTGCTGCAGCCAAACGTTTGCGGAGAACGTAAAGGAGGTTATAACTGGATAAGTAAGACACTTGTTTAACACGTAAGGCTTTCGCGACAACTATCATTCATAATAAACGTTGTATGGGTTAGATCTCGTAAAAATAAATGCGTCGTTAACCCACCACCAGCCGACACAGCCATTTAGCAAAGGTTTGTCACGTTAACAAAACGTACCAATCGGTTAATACAACATTTACAATTTGAGTTAAATAAGTTTTTCGCTGGCGATTTCCACCAGCTTCATCAGGCGATTTTCCAGAAATGCGAAGGAGGCTTCCCATTTCCAGGCCTGACAGCAGGACGCCCGCCGCACGTCGTCACGGGACGGGCAGCAGCCTTACCGGACGTAGGAGATGTAGGAGATCCACTGCAGGTAGGTGGGGATGGTGTCGAAGCTGACAAAGAAGCCGGAGAAGAGCAGCACGGGTATGGCGGTGACGGGACCAGCGTAGGTCGCCACCTGGGTTCATCCACGCACGGCGCGTCGCCGTCGTAACGTGATCACTAGCACGCGCGACGTCTCACCACAGTGACGTCACCCCCCTCACAACAACAATCATAACAAGTCAGTCGCTGATAATCCACCGCTGGATGAGCACCTCCTCACACCGTTGCGGGTGAGTGGGGATCAGTTTACCACACTTTCAGCACGATGGTCAGTGTGGGTTGGTGAAGGTGGCTAGCACAGATTTGGACCATACGAGTACAATACAACAATGTATTTTTCCGTACTACCCTCTGCTGCCCACCATGTAGCCCCCTGGCCTAAAGCGAGCGTGTTGTACATGAGGTGGTCACGTGTTTCATGTCCGTCCGCCGCACCTCCGATTGGCACGGTTGGCTACGTACAGTGCGAAAGAAGTTCATCATACATACACACATTTTTCTTTCCAAAACCGACATTCTCCATTAAACACACTCCGATACCCTTCTTTAACGAACTTTACCTAAAAAAAAAAAAAATACTCATCTCAAAGTAAATTGAAAAAAATTAGCGACGGCATCTGCCATGCCGGGTAAATACCGTCAAGCAATTTGTTAAGCCAATGGCTCGAAGGAAGCCCCCCAATACAGTGGAATGGACCGCGCGGGCCAGCGCGAACCTGCAGGGAGGTGGAGGCGGCGCCGATGAGAAGGCCCAGCGACTGCGCCACGAGCGACGTCATGACGGAGATGGCCGAGAAGAGGACGAAGCGCAGCAGCTCGGGCGGCTGCGACGTCATCCAGTAGACGATGCCGCAGTACGCCATGGGGAAGGCCACCTGCGCAGCGACGTTCATCCCAAACCATCGCGGGCGTGAATCACCCACGGCGACGGCGATTTCTACCGTTCGCGACAATTATGAAGTGACGCTTTTTTTATCATGGTTGCTAAGCCACAGGCAAAAATGCACGTCGAGTTTCTTTCGCCCCGCCCCCGTACGTAGGTAGCCAACCACGGTCATCGAAGGTGCCCAAAACGCTGAGCGATCGGCAACAAGCAAACCGACGGTGTGATAAGTAAGAGTTTATACGCTTCTCGAATGGAGAAAAGCGACGATTGGGAGGGATTTCCCAAGGGGGGGCAGTGCAATGGAAGGAGGAGTAGGAGGAAGAAAGAGAAGCGGTATTGTGACCTTTACGATGATGGTCATGAAGACCGGTGCGGAGTAGTTTCACAGCGCTGTGAACTCAACTCCACGACTCGAGTTGATCCCTGGTCACGGTTAACGTCAATTGGCGAGCGATATCTGAACCGGTCCTGGATCCCGCCCCCACCCCCGCCTCCCTCACCAAAGTGCTCTGACCAGCATGGTGAAGTATGGTCACACAGCCACTTAGACCAACACGGCGCTGCCGGGTCCTTCGTAAACAAAAATGTTACGATGATAATAACAATGATGATGCCAACAAGACTGATACTGCTGACCATGATGATGCTGACGAGCACGATGGCAATTGTGGCCTCACTGATGATGACTGATGACGACTACGGTGAAGGCATCGCAGAGCGTTGCCTCCAGACCGGTGCCGCAGCCACTGAGCGGGGAAGCCGCCGGTCATCCCAGCGGCGAGCGGCTACCTGGAAGGGAATGTCGGCCATCGTCTTGGCGAGGTAGTAGGCCTTGAGGCTGTACCAGTAGTTGAGGTGCTCCCTCATGAACACTCCCATCTCCTCAGGGACTGTGCGCACACAAAACGCACACACGCCCGCAATGCCCACGGTATATATATATAAAACAACGAAAACAATTATAACGAGACTATTTTTTTATTTTACCAAAATAGCTATGTAGTTATTTTTTTGCCAGAAGCATCCTGACTATCACTAATGCGAGCTCATCATGTGGAAATCTATAACAGCCACGTTTCTTAATGTGGAGGGGAAAACCGGAAGACCTGGACAAAAATCCATGCAATCATGGGGAGAACATGCAAACGCCAAATATACAGGCGTCAGGGTTGGGATCGAATCCACGGCTTTTAGTATACCAGGCAAGGTAGTTAACATAACTATTTTATTTTATTTTACCAGGTAAGGCACACAGAGCTATACACAGCTCTTTTTCAGAAGCGACCTGGCTATCACAAATGATAGCTTAACGAAGTGGCTCAACGTGAACATTTATAGCGGCAAAATACTCTTAAATGCGTGACCGTTCATTGTAAATGTCGAGGGAAAACCCGGAGGACCCAGAGAAAAATCCACATGACCACAGGGAAAGGAGACATACAAAACTCCAAATATACAACAGGCGTCAGGGGTCGGGATCGAACCCACGACTTCCTGCATACCAGGCGAGGGGGTTAACATCTCGACACCGAGTCGCCGGCCGGAAGAGAACTCACAAGTGAGCACGGTGGGCATGAGGGCGGCGAACATGAGGAAGAGCATGGAGAAGAAGAGGAAGCCGGAGTTGTTGAAGACCTTGGTGGCCTCGTTACCGATGTGCAGGTACAGCAGGCCAATGAGGAGGCCGATGGCGATGTGGGAGCCCAGGCGCATGTGGGTGAGCACCTGAAACGACGATGACAAACGGGCTCGGGGCTCGCGCACGATCGCAAAAGATGACGACCAAAACAATGATCCCCCCCAGGATAGCCTTCATAGACTGTCGGGGGCAAGTGCCGCCAGCGAGTAGCGGCTATGAAGGCCGGCACGCCACACGAGGGGAGGGGGGGCCAGCACCACGCCTGTGTCTCCCTCGTGGCGATGTTTACACGGAGGGGACGACCGCCATGCAGCCTCGCGGCCAGGCCTTCTCCAAGCCGGACTCGTGGAGGGGGGCGGAAGGACAGCCTTGGCGGTTAGAGGGCTCGTCCATCATATGCCAACGAATTCATCATTGTAATTACATCATTAATTGTTACATTACATTTACACGTAGTACCAAACGTGTAATTAACACTTGATAACGATAACTCAGTTTTTTTTTATTGAAAATATAAATTTCACACTGAATCGAGAAAGGCATTGCAACATTGCCCCCGAGGAGCAAACTTAACAGGGCCATCCTGAGAAAAATGTCCGAATAATTGTTGGGGCTTTCCTACGTAAACACTAATAAAATTTAATTGTATTCACAATGTTATACAAGGTAACAACACGAACACGTATTATTAATGTACCGTTTAACCCGGAAGTCTAACTGTTAAACCCAAGACACGGATTCTGACTTGCACATCCAAGCCACGCTGGGGCCATGTGGGTCAGGAAAGCACGGGGTTGCTTTTCCACTGCAAAACCCGAGCAGTGCCGCTCACGTCGCGTACAATTCGTGACGTCCAGATGCATGCAGACGATGTGGTGATGCCGTACTCATTCGTTTGCACTGTACAAACATCGGATGCATTGCACACGTCACGAGCCAAGACCCTGGGGCCCTGCTTAGCCCCAAGCCAGATTCAGCTGTGGTGCGAGTCTAGGCTTGCACGGTTCAGTTCCAACTTGGCTTGGTACGAATTCCAGTGGAAAACCACCTGTGCCGAGCTGTATATATGTTAGGGGTGAGCGATGGTGTAGCGGTTAGCGCGCTGCGCTGTAGAACTGGGCAACCCAAGTTTGATTCCCACTCACGACTAACATCGGTGATCAATACCTAAACCGGTCCTGGGCCTCACCTACGTCGAATCAGCCTCAAATAAGTCCCTGGTAGAGTATGTAAACATCACCACTGGGGAGACAAAAGCGGCCGTGCGTGGTGTTGGCCACCCACCCCCCTCGTGTGCTGCTCCGGCCTTCATAGGTGCTTGTTAACAGCACTTGCCACAACAGTCTAAGGCTATACAGGGGATCTTTGTCTTTTGTCTTTGTATGTATGTTGAACTTCTTTCGCACCGTACGTAGCCAACTGCGAAAATCGGAGGTGAAAATATAAGGTATCGGTCTCTGTGACTCACCATGTCCCTCATGATGGAGAGCATGCTGCGCTTGAATAGGATTGAGAACTGCGTGAATCCACCCGTTGAGAAGCTGTGGCAGTTTTCACTAACAGCACTTCGCTCCTTGGCGACACAAAGGAGAACACAGCACTTACACAGCGCCAGTACACACACACCGCGCAACACCTACACACTGACCAATCACAAAGCACACACGGCTCACAGCACCTACACACCGACCATTCACAAAGCGCACATGGCTCACAGCACCTACAACACCGACCAATCACAAAGCGCACACGGCTCACAGCACCTACACACCGACCAATCACAAAGCACACATGGCTCACAGCACCTACACACCAACCAATCACAAAGCGCACATGGCTCACAGCACCTACACACCGACCAATCACAAAGCGCACATGGCTCACAGCACCGACACACCGACCAATCACAAAGCGCACATGGCTCACAGCACCTACACACCGACCAATCACAAAGTGCACATGGCTCACAGCACCTACACACCAACCAATCACAAAGCGCACATGGCTCACAGCACCTACACACCAACCAATCACAAAGCGCACATGGCTCACAGCACCTACACACCAACCAATCACAAAGCACACATGGCTCACAGCACCGACACACCGACCACTCACAAAGCACACATGGCTCACAGCACCTACACACCGACCAATCACAAAGTGCACATGGCTCACAGCACCTACACACCGACCAATCACAAAGTGCACATGGCTCACAGCACCTACACACCGACCAATCACAAAGTGCATATGGCTCACAGCACCTACACACCGACCAATCACAAAGTGCACATGGCTCACAGCACCTACACACCGACCAATCACAAAGTGCACATGGCTCACAGCACCTACACACCAACCAATCACAAAGTGCACATGGCTCACAGCACCTACACACCGACCAATCACAAAGTGCACATGGCTCACAGCACCTACACACCGACCAATCACAAAGTGCACATGGCTCACAGCACCTACACACCGACCAATCACAAAGTGCATATGGCTCACAGCACCTACACACCGACCAATCACAAAGTGCACATGGCTCACAGCACCTACACATATACACGGGCCATTCTATGGAATTTTAACAAAATCAAAACCGATGCGTTTTGCCCTGTAATTGCAACAGTTAAATGTTCAATTATTAAACTATTAATAATGTTCAATTATTAATCGTTCTGCGAGAAATTTCCTCGTGATAATCTACTTTGTTGAGCTATAGTTTGTGTCCAGGTCGCTTCTGAAAAAGAGATAAATAGCTCGGTGGGCCTTAGCTGGTTAAATAAAAAATAGTTTATAGTTTTATTTACAAGGAAAATTCATCTTCACGTAACTCAGGTTTCCCCTAGCAAAACGTGGCATTGCCTCAAGTGTCTCAATGAACATATATTTAATCTCCTGGTTAATTACAGGATACAAACAAACCTCACGTTGAACTTCGCATTGGTTTCCTTAGGCAGAGATAACCGAGGTCCCTGTCTCCCAGCACTCAGCAGAGGGAGCTGTTAGGCAGGGCCAGCGGGGGGGTTTAACGGGTCTTTAGGCCGAGCGAATCATTGGCACTCATTCATTTACAGGCGCAGTGCTCAATGAGTGCACACTTAAATTTTGATTTAAAGCTTTCGTGACTGCAGGGATTCATATTCTTGGTTCTTTCGGTAAAGTCACGTAGAAGGGAAACAATAAAATAATAAAAATATATGAGTGCACACTTGTACTGATTGAGCAACGGGGGACTCTTTCGTCAGCTCTGGCAATTGACGACATAAATATATCAACAGCGAAGAAAATCGCAGTGCCCTTTGCATATACCTCGCATTATAACCACGTGAAATGTTTGCCCAACGACCCGTTACAAGAGCTACGTCGGAGAGCAAATGTCAAAGGGTTTACACTTGGCAACAGAGTGCATGCATTATTAACCGCGTCTCTCACCGCGTTAAGACTTTGTGCATGCTCACACTCGTCAGCGTTTACCTTCGCGGCACGGCGGTGCTAGTGCGCCAAAAATACTCCGCGCCGGAAATCACAGCACAAACGCAGTCTCGCGCAAGCACAATGCCGGCAGGCGACGCAAGCGCCATCCTCCGCACACGTGCTTCTCCCGAGCTGAAGAAACCCACAATAAAGGTGCTTTACAAATAGCGCTGGAGTGGGCGCGCGGTCCTCGGAGAAATCAACGTCACACTTAACGGTGGGTCCACTCGGCCCATCAGCTCTCCGCGTGGGGTCGGTAAATGAAGCACCGCCGTGGTGAGCAGCGACTTTGTGGAAGGTACGGCAGCGATTGCCCTGAGAATCGACTGCTCCCTGCCATATTACCGTGAAACTGTATTACCTCTGGATCAGGACTGCCAATAGCGATTCCAAAAAGTCCAAATGTCTCCCCCCCCCCCACCAACACCAGCCAACACGGTAACCTGGGCAAGCGGTGAGCAATTCGGGTTGCTTGAAGCAAGCGGTGGAAATTTCAAATTCCTATTTCTGGGCAATCTGGACTGCTGTTCCAATCCCACGAAGTGACCCCGAGCCACGCCCCAAAGCTCGCTGCGGAGGATACAAAACGTCCGACTGAATTAACACCGGCCACGAAGTGCGGCAGCCCCATCTCCCCCCACCCCAACCCTTCCCAGCTCCGCCGAAGCGGCCGGCGAGGGCCCCGACGTGCGCAGCCGCTCACGGTGAGCGCGCCGTTCCTGTGCGCGTCCGATGGCACGACCTCCAGGGCCCCGTCCCCGTCCAGGGACTTCTTGGGCTCCATGCTGCAGCGGCCCTCGGTCACGGCCGACACGAGGATGGGGTTGAGGTCGCCGTACTCCCCCGAGGCCACCTCGATCACTGCACACGCGGGCGGGCGGGCGGGCGGGCGGGCGGCGTCAGCGGCCGGCGTTACGATTAAAATAAAAACTATGAGCTAAACTATTGTTATTTTAGCAGTTAAGGCCCACTGAGCTAGACAGATTTTTTCGGAAGTGACCTGTGGCCATGAATGATAGCTCAACAAAGTGGCTCATTGTGTGGAAAAGTATAGCAGCAAAATACTCTAAATGCACGTTCCTATATGTAGATGGAAAAAACCGGAGGATTCGGAGAAAAATCCACGCAATCACGGGGAGAACACACAAACTCCAAATATACAACAGGCGTCAGGGGTTGGGATCGAACCCACGACCTCCTATATATCAGGCGAGGCAGTTAACATCTCGCCACTTTGGCAGTTTCGATGACCTGAGGATGCTCAATGCAGTCTCGAGCGAACCACTGCATCTACGGCGCTGAATTTAGTTGCCGCGAAATGTTACTCAATTTACCGGCGAGCTGAAACGATCATAATTGGCCGCGTTAAATGCTCGTACAGTGCAACTTTAGGGTGACGCAGCACAACATTAGCCATGTCATGATACGGCCTAAACCAAAAAATAAATTCGAAATGAGTGTTAACTGAGTCAGCTGTTTTTCACTTGAGCTATAGTCAGTCTAGTCGACGACCAGTGGAACGTTAGTGAAGTCTGGCACATATATCATCCATTCTACTTCACCCATGTTCCAAGCAGCAACGATCCCTCCTTCCTCACTTTCCCTTTACAAGAAGCATCATCAAACAATGCCAAATACGTGAATGGTACATTGCAAGCCAGCAAAGGCCATGGTACATTACGTCATACTCATTGGTTCTTTCGGTAAAGTCACGCAAGTGAAAAATAAATATGTCCTGCAACTGAATCGGACCTGGATCTTGTGTTTGTTTAAGATTTTGGCAATCTTTTTGGTAACGTCTGCTATGTATGGTAATGTGATGGTTTTGATCGGAGTCTCAGGGGGTTGTTTCTCCATGGTTGAAGAGACCGCTTTGCGGATAATGCTGTCTGAGTATCCATTCATCTTAAGGGCCTGGTGTACGTGTTCCAGTTCACTGGCTAGGTGGTGTTGGTCAGAAGTGCAGTAGGCCCTATGGTGCAGTGTTTTGACGAGGGAATTCTTCGTCATGGCGACGATCGATGTCACAGCATCATTGACGCCAGTTTCACAGCACACGGTGTACTTTAGTGACACTTGCGTAACAATAGCAATGCCATGCACATAATTAAGAATGCCTTAATGAGCCTCAAGCGGTGTTAATTTAGCCAGAATTTACATTTGAGTCAATAGGCTCAGTCTACAATCATCTATGGAATTTTTGTCTGCGAAATTCAATTAGTTATGCCAGTTTAGTGGACCAAAGCAGTGAAATATATGGACCACTCTTGTTAGTTAATTAACGTTGATGCGAGGCGAGGCAGTATGAATAATAATCTCCCTTTTACCGAGGAAATCCTCAAGAGTTCAAGAATTCACTGCTGCAGTGCCACCACCTTATTGGAAAACTCTCAGCCCAGCCTGAAAACGCATGGCATTCCCAGGCTGTCTCCCATCCAAGTACGAACGAGCGCGTTCCCCAGTGTGGCTTCCTCCTCTCAACCACTTCTACTGTCAGCACCTTCCAAGCTTTTTTTGAATTCAACTCCAGAAGATTTCCCGCAGCAGCGGGTGGCAAAATCTCGAAGAGAAATAAGAAAGAAAACACGCGCGGCCCGAAACCCGAAATCCACGCCTGGGATTACAACCGAGCGGGCAAAACCTCGTGTGTCAAATCGACCCGCACGCGCGGTCACGTGGAGCGCGACGGCGCGTGCGTGCGTGCGTGGGGCTTACGAACCGAAGTCGGCGGGGTTGTGGTAGGTGGGGCAGTGGAGGCCGAGCCCTCGCAGGTACGGGACGAGCTCCATCACCGTCCCCTTGTAGATGCACTGGCCCTGGCTCAGGATGTACAGCTGCAGCAGAGAACACGGCATCGCTTTAAACCGCGCATCACCTCTCGGGGGGGGGGGGGTTGTGGGGTGGGGGGGGGGCAGTACGCCGGAGTGAAAAGGCTGTGGCCAGGTGCGTAAAATTCCCGAAGTAAGAAAATCCTCCAATTTAAATCGGGCAAGAGCGTCGTATGCAAACCGACAACTGGAGTTCAATTTCTCTTCTACTTTTACTAAAAAAAAACTTTCCGCAAAACAAATTACAATGTAGTACAATGTGTGTGTGTGTGTGTACGTGTGCGCTGAAGCATTGTGTGCATTTACACCGACGGCCCTTTGCCAATCGACAGCGGGGATGAGGGCCTCCCCGTGTATTTTTGAGTAGCGGGGGTTATTTTACCAAACTTCGCCCCGCTGGTCAGAGCCCGTTGGTGAGAGGCAGGACACACAGATGTGTGCGCACACAAAGTACGGTACAGCAATCGATCTGGCTACACTGCCCTCTATTGTCCACAACATAACCCCGAAGCCTATAACGCCTGTGACGGTCGGTCAACCATCCCAAACACTATCTGGACACAAATTTGCTTAGCTTGAGACTTTATGAGATTGGGCGCATTCTGGGTGATGTGGTAATATGCATGAAGCATTATAATTCTGAGTTAAATTAGATACACATTTTCTCTGCATAATGTGTGCGGCAGTTCAGTGCACCATGCTTAGACAACGTTTAATAATTATTGACCTTGCCATTATACAGTGTAATGGAAACATTTTACAACAATACAATATTTATTTAAACAATCTACAAGTTGGCCTTGTACATTACAGTATGTATGCACACGTAAACATACCAATGAAAGGTCCCAATGTCAGCCAAGTTACATTTTAGGGAAAACTGTTGCTCGTGCGCACCTATTAATAGTGTTTCACCCAGGAAGGCCTCACCGTGTCTTTCGACTCTTTTTCAGGAGGGTCCTGCCAAGTTATCGCAGTAGGCGGGATATGCTGCTGCCACATGATCCCAATTGAGTAATTGGAAGGTCGTTTTTCAGCATTGGGATATTTTGGACAACACCAGTCACGTTGTGTGTATTTTTTTTAGCTATAGAGGAAACAGCAGAACCCGGAGATAACCCATGCAAAACAGCAGCTTTTGGCAAACCATCGCACGACACTTTCAGGTGCACTTCTGCGGCCGTCTGGAACGCTCTCCCTTCCGACATAAGGAAGCCACTGGACTAAGCACGTTTAAATCATCTAGATTGAAAACTCATTTCTTTAGAACTGATTGTTGTCTTGAGTTTGTTGTCCTTCCCCCGCACCTCCGATTAGCGCAGGTTGGCTACATACAGTGCGAAAGAAGTTTAACTTACATACAGGGGGAGAATATACAACCTTCACACAGAAAGGTCCCGAGTTGGCAATCGAACCCAGGTCTATTTGTCTGTTGTCACCATTATACGCCACCGCACTGCCCGACAAAGAGCACTTGAATAATCCCATCGTATATAAACGGCAATGGAGTTCACCATAAATCCGTACAACCCATGGATGCCCTCTGTTGGAACCCGATGTGGTGGTGGGTGGGTATAGGGGCACATGACACGTCAGGATGTAATGCACACACTCGCACAAAGACCCCCCAATATCCCCCCGGCGACAACATGCTCCCATCCACCGCCCCCCCCCCCCACCAACAATCGTTATTAATTTAGAATGACGCAATGTACTTTGGCCGCAACGCTGAACGCAGATGACGCATGTATAATTTAGTTGCTTTGCGGTGATATCTCTTCGCGGAGTGCATACATCCGCTGGCAGACGAAGCTCGTTATTAATGGGGATGGGGGGAGGTGGGGGAGACAAATCGGATCTTTGGAAAATATTACCAGACTGCCGCGATGACACAGACTGAAAAATGTCACCGGGGCCTATTTCTGTACCTACGATGTGGAGAGCGGGACGGAGCGGCGCTGCGCTGCTCCAGCGAACCCGGCGATCCAAGTTCCAATCCGGGCCGCGGCTAACATCAGTGGCGAGTGAGGTGTTGAAACTTCACCGACCCGTGCTGACCCAGCGGGGTCAAGTCTGGCCAATCAACCCCCCCACCCCCCACTCACGACCGAGAGAAGTTGGGGAGAGGCCTTCGTCTGGAAGCCGATTGCCGAGAGGGCTGCTAAGTATTAGCAAATGCGAATGGGAGCTGTTCGAATTATTTTCAGCAAAGTATATTTCGCGATTAGAATGAAATCTCATTTTAGACGGTGCTGCACGCATTTTATCGTAGGTGGGGGGAAAAAATAAAACCACATTTATTTAATTGAGCACCCCACACTCACAGCAGGGAATTTAATTAGATTTGACATTTTTAACAAAACCCTCTAAGCTCTACAAGGAAATGCTGCCAACGCAACGCGCGGCGCCTCAAGTGCAGCCGCCCTCTCGTATGTTATTATAAAATCTGTTGTACAAGGACGAGAGGCGACTTGCGCTGCGACGGGCTCTCTCGCTCGACCGGGAACACTGCGGAATATCGCGTGGAGTGTCATTCACCGGCGTGTATTTTGGCGAACGGAAATATTGTTGTTGTCACGCCTTGCGACAGGAGGTGACCATCGGCGTAGGTGGGAGGGGTGGGTGGGTAGGGGGAGGGGTGGGTGGGTAGGGGGAGGGGTGGGTGGGGGGGCGCTAATTAATTGGAGACACTGAGCACAGGAAGCTACGCTACATCTCGTATCTCCGTATCGTGGCTATGAACCCAGCAACCCTGGTTCGATTCCCAGCCACGGCTAACATCAGTGGCGAGTGATATTTGAACCGGTGATCTTGCATGGCCCCTGCTGCTCCATAAACCCACGAACATCATCTAACCCCTTTCAAAACAACATAAATGCCAGGCATCTGCAAGCACTGTGGTTCTTCATGTGCGGCAAGTGTTACATTTTTATGTTTGATTTCTTTATTTAAAAATTATCACTTGTGTTTGTCGCGTAAAAAAAAGTTATAGAGTGGAACATTTTGGGGCTGAAACGTAGCTCAGCTTTTGACATGGGGATGAGTCAATGGGAAAAGGATGATCTCGTCTTTAACAAGAACATTTTTTTCGCGGAACGGTATTTAGCTCGTTAAGCGTAGGCGACGCGCCTGTCATGTCGTTCATTGAACCGGGATAAAAAAAAACACACACCGAGCCTCAATACTTTCTCAGGAGGGACCCGTTAACAGTGAGCTTTGTCAAATTCTATCTCGTGAGACTTTGGCTTTGTGTGCGAGGAAAACAAATAAGTTGGGGCCTGCATGGAAGAAAGAGACCAACATTTTCCATGCAAGGCCTCTACCGGCTCTGCCTCGTCAATGTCCATCTGCCATCAGTGGCATGGGCAAGCAATTTCAGGGCTGTACCGTTGCCTCAAACACCAGGCACCACAAATGTCAAGCTGGTCGGTTCCCAACTGTGTGGTTCGGCCAGCCTGTAACCCACCAAATATCTTAGGCTCTTTCACCATCTGCACTGACCTAGCGACCACCTCTATTGTATATTATATTTATTTACTGCCCTTCGTCAATCCACTCCTGGGGTAAGGCCTGACCTCGCCTTGTCAGTCATGGGAGGTTATTTGACCATACTTCACCATCCGTACTTTCACAGTATCGGTTCAGATATTGTTCACCACCGATGTGAGCCTTGACTAGGAACAGAACTGGGGTTGTTGCCAGGTATAACCACCGTGCTACTGCTCCACCCCAAGATGAAAGCACACCTTGGTCAAAATGAAAAAGATAATTAAGGAATGTGTTTTTTGTTGTTCTTGGGCATGGGTTTTGTGTAAATGCCAATGTCTGATCTTGAAGCAGCTTAACTTGACAAGATTCGCTCTTATCAGATCTACAACTGGCCTTTGAATTTTCCCAGTTCCGATCTAAATCAAGTTGAACATTCGTTACAACTCCTCTACCAATCGCAAACACCACCTTACATACATACAAATGTAATCCATTCGACTCGGCATCATCAACATCATCACCAGCCATGGTCAATCCACTTCTAGACGAAATCCTCCAAGAGCCACTGCCACACCCCACAACGCTGCGACGGCAGAATCCATCCAGTGGCTGGACACGAACTGATTCTCATCGCTTCATCTCCCCTGTGAACATCCTGCAAGGAATCTTTTCCATTCCTTGGCTTCCACTCCGCTGTCATTGTTAATCATTGTCCATCATCCCTTGAAGTCGTGCTCGAGCCCACTTACGTTTAGTAACAGTTTGAATGATTCCATTAACATGCATGCACTCTCCAATACACACGACTCTGGTTTTGTTTCTTAATGCAATTTCAAGCGTGCGTCTCTCCACGCTTCTTTGCACAATTTTCTGATTTTGTTCCATACCTTTTCGTTACTGCCCATGTTTCGGAACCATGCATCAAGTTAGCGGAAAGTTACTCTCACTCACTCGCAGCAGCGAAGAGGACACCATTCTGGTGAACATTTGAGGCCGTTTTTTTATGTGCGCACAGGAACATCCACACAATCAATGGAGCAATGACATCAACCTCTTGAGCAAGCGGAGTGCGGATTGTTACAGAGCATGATCGTGAGAGGTAGCAGTGAAATGGGGAGAACCTTCATCCAGCAGTAGATCGACCATGGCTCGTGATGCTGAATACTGACACCAACGAAACTGTAACAATGCTAACATTTTTATTTTTTACAAACGTGTACACGTAGAGACCTTTTGTCAATACACTGCTGGATGAGGGCCCCCCCCCCCCCACCCCCCCACGCCTTGCCACGCTGGTCAGTGCGACTTGGTAAAGGCAGGGGAGCACAGACGGTGGGGCGTAGCGTCACGGTACAACCTTGGGACTCTGCCACACTGCCTTCTGCTCGAGGCAAAGCATCCCCCGCCACTCCCAAGCGGCGGCGCTCACCTTGTCAAACATCTCGAAGAGCTTGGCGCTGGGCTGGTGGATCGTGCAGATGACCGTGCGTCCCCCCAGGGCCAGCGTCTTCATGAGGGACACCACCTGGAAGCACGATGAGCTGTCCAGGCCGCTGCACACAAACACAAAATAGGGGACAAAGGGCACCTCAATATAGACAACCTCGCAACGAAGCGTTGGGGAAAGTTCCGTTAGCGGGGCGCTCTCGAAGGCCGCCCCACGGCACGCGAGGGCGTGGAGTGGGCTGGCAGCGCGCCCAGCCACGTTTGTCTCTCCCCATGATGTTTAAACACCGCACCAGGTCATGTCGACTCGGCAAACGACCGGGGCCGAGTCTGTTACTCGTCGCCGGTGTCGGTCGAGAGCGGGTATCGAACGCACGCTCGCAGGCTTTGATGGGCACCGTGCCAACCGCTGCGTCACCGCTCCCCACACGCGCACCCATAGGCAAACCATCCCCCCATTTAGCCTCATGGATTGGAGGAGCGAGGCCTGTTAACGAGCCCCCATTTATGGCCAGCACGGCACACGGTGGGTGGTGTGGGCAGCCCCACTCCCGTCCGCAGGCCTCCCCCGTCTTCCAGGCTGCTGAAGTTTACAATGGGCAAACCACTGCGCCAACATCACACACATACGCACACGCTCATAAACAACACTCTCTACCACTCGGCATCTCACCTGGTAGGGTATCTCAACAATCGTCTCACCAGCTAGGGTATATCAACTCGCCTCAACAGCTATAGTATACCGACACACGTCTCACGAGCTATAGTATATCGACACTCGCGTCACCAGCCACAGCGTACGAAGCAGGTAGCGCGTTTCGCGAGTGCATCATCGCGTGGAAACCAATTGGATGAAGCGAGGTCAATTGAACTCCGCTGGCGAACACTGTGGAGTTCTGTGGACATTCCACAAATGAAAGCCTCATCGACGACCCCCACCCACTGCTATGCGCGGCGTTGACCTGCCAAGAAAACCTCGGTGCTCCACCAACCGTTTCGGAACGGCAACAGGTCGCTGCGCACACCTCCTCCCCCACAAGCGGAGAATCGAAGACGACCCACAGTGCGACTGCGGCCACCCGGACCAGACAATGGACCGCACTGCGAACAACCGCATCCTATGCCCGCTTTCTCCGGTTGGACTCGGCAGTATTGGTCGCGCTGCTCCTGAAGCCATCGCGTGGCTCAAAAGACTTAAACTCGGACGTGTGATTAGCACGTACCTGCCGATCGCTAGAGAGAAAGAGAGAGAGAGATCGCGCGTCTCGGACTCCCGTCGCCGCGTGGGCCTCACCTCGTCGGCTCGTCGAAGAACATGACGGGGGGATTGTTGACGAGCTCCAGGCCGATGGCGAGGCGCTTTCGCTGCCCGCCGGAGAGCCGGCACGTGCGCGTGTCGCGGCACTCCAGCAGGCCCAGCGCCGTCAGGATCTCAAACACCTGCGGCGCAGACGGAGACCGTTAAAGGCGAGCAAGCACCTGTGAAGGCCTCGCATCAGCGGCGCTCGGCTGGCCATCGAAAAATGACGGTCACCGCGTTCGCGCGCTTTCGGTTGCGCTTCTGCGGCCGTCTGGACCGCACTTCCTTCGGTTTTGAGGAAGGCACTGGAGCTACAAACTTTTAAATGTAGATTGAAAACGGATTTCTTTAGAACGGCGTTTTGTGTTTAGTTTGTTGTCCTCCCGCACCTCCGATTAGCACGGTGAGCTACGTACGGTGCAAAAAAAGCTCAACATATATACATACAAAGGTCGGTACGGCACACGAGGGGGTGGGGGGGTGGCCAACACCACGCCCGACCGCCTTTGTCTCCCCAGTGGCGATGTTTACACACCACACCAGGTGCTCGTTCGAGGCCGAGTCGACCTACGGGAGGCCAAGGACCGGTTCAAATAATCGTCAATGGTGTTGGCCGTAAGCGGGAATCGAACTCGGGTCACCGGGTTCGTAGCGCGGAGTAGCGCTAACCGCGACATTACCACTCCGCACAGACCGATGGGTGCAAGTGCTGTTAGCGAGGAGCTATTAAGGCTGGCACAGCCACACTAGGGGATGGGTGGCTGGCATCATGCCCAGGTGCTTTGATGATGTTTACGCACCACACCAGTTACTCATTTAAAGCCGAGTTCACCTAGGGGAGACTCAGAACCGGTTCAGGTATTCACCGTCACTGATGTTGGTCGTGGGCGGGATTCAAACGCGGGTCGCCCGGGTTCGTAGCGCGGAGTAGCGCTAACTGCTCTGCCACTACTCCCCACTTTTACACACGCACATACAAACACGTGTGGCTCAGAGGGGAGCGCACACGTACGATGACATTGTTCAAACCGAGAGAGGAATTAATGAGCGAACTATTGGAACGTGACCTTTGTTTTGGTCACGATTGCCATCCCGAACCCGGCTTCTCGGACTTCGAGAGCCCATTACGTTTTTTCTCACATTTGCGAGAGTCTATCTCGGCTGCCTGCTGCGATAGCAGCTCGTGTAATAGGTGTTGCAAGAAGACTGGCCGATTGCATCGCTGGCAACCGTGCACAGGTGACATCAGTGCGCTGTAAAGGCCAATGGCCGTGCAGGATATTTTTCTTTGTGCATATTTCATCAAAAAGCATGGGGGGCTGTGGGGGTGACCAGCCCATGGGATCGTGGAATTGGTAACCCCATTAGGGTCTCTCCCCTTTCATCTCTCTCACACAAAACAAGGACAACAGTTGCACTGACCGCTCCCAACTCTCTTTGTTTTGGTCAAAGAGAGTGGGGGGGGGGGGAGCACACACATGCACACGCGAACACACAGGGTTGGTAGATCACACAAATGCTGTGAAACTCCCTTCTCGCGGGCATCGAGGTGCCATGCCCCGGCTTGACAGGAGAACGCGACAGACCAAACGTAGACTCCCGACGGTTCCACCTCTATTTGACAGATGCCCCCTCGCACGCGTGTGGGGAATCATCCCGGGGTGTTCCGTTTCCCTCCCGCACGTCAACACTCCTGAATTGGCCAATGTAACACCGACATATAACAGAGGACAGCAGAGCTTGGGGGAGGGCAGCATTCGGCACCAGCTGACCGGCTGGCTGCCTTCCCCGCCTCTCTGTGGTTTCCTGTGCCTCCGAGTCATTCTCTTAGCTTTGAGGATAGTGTGCAGCGCGCTGCAAGGCGAGTTTATGATGAGAGAAGGCTATACGTTGTGTTTTCTCTTCCCTCTCCCTTTGCATTCTCTTTTGTATTTCCCTTTGTCCGTAGATCATCACAAATACGGTCATTGGATCGCGCGCTTTCAGATGCCCCTCTGCGGCCATCTGGAACGCTCTTCTTTCCGATATTAGAAATCTACTGGGAGCTATGCCCTTTTAAATCATCTCGATTGAAATGCTAATTTCTTTCGAACTGCTTTTCGTGTTTAGTTTGTGGTCCTTCCGCTGCACCTCTGATGAGCACGGTTGGCTATATAGGGTGCGAAAAAAGTTCAACATACATGCAGACATAGCTAGGAGCACCTGCAGTTGATGACAGTATAATCTGGTTCCATTCGACCACGTGTGCTGTTTGCCGTTTGTGAAACTACAAGTACAATGTGAATCAGAGACTAGAAAAGTGTACTGACATTACAGTACCTGAACTGGAATCAAGGCCATGGCATTAACAACAATCGTCGTGTATATTTAAAAGTTACTCGCCAAAACCGTGCGTTACGAACCGAATCAGCCGAAGTTAAACTCTAGCTGTGGGCAACATGGGTGATTAGTGACATTCAAACTGGTAATGGAACCCCCCCCCCGCCCAGAATGGCGAAGTATGGTCAAGCAACCGCTATCCAGCACTGGATTGACAAATTGGCTGGACATTATTATTATGATTATTCTTGGTATATTATTTAATGTAATATGTACATATTCACATTGTACAGGAGTGCATACAGGCACTACTTGACGTATCGCGTTAGATTCGTTACTGTAAGAAAGCAATTTTCCCATAAGAAATACTGATAAAGGAGGGGGTTAGGGGATTTCACTCACACTCGCAGACATAATTATTATCCTAGCCTATATCAATCGTCGTATTGCCAGCGACGCTCCCATTTCATTTCTCCCCCTCTTGGTCCTTCAATCTTATCTTGCTACAGTACCCTCTCATTAAATTTCGATTTAAAGCTTTCGTGACTGCAGGGATTATTCTTCTTGGTTCTTTCGGTAAAGTAACGTAGAAGGGAAATAATATAAGACTAAAAATAAAGCAATAATTATTTTATTTTATAATGTTTGCTATAAAATTTTACTATGTTTTATATAAATTCATTCTGTTTTATTTTTATTCTTTTGTTATTTCCCTTCTACGTTACTTTACCGAAAGAACCAAGAAGATGTACCCTCTCATTAATGATCCCTTTCACCACCTGTGCCCCTTCCTCTCCGGATGTTAAGACTCCCCCGGCCACCTGCGATCTTAATTATCCCTTCACAACCTGTTGCCTTTCTAATTTCTCTCAGCACCCATTTTATAAATCTTTAGTGGCTCCGTGTAACCTCGCCGGAGTTCCGTTGTGGAGACAAAGGGAAGAGCCACGCCGGTGTCGACGCTGGCTGGTGTAGCACGTGCGTCGCCATCGCAGCGGGATGGCTGCTGCCAACGCCGTTGGGTCGCGCTGCCAGGCTTAAGCGGGTTGGCCCACGTGGGGTTGCGGTTGACGTTATTCCGAAAATTGCCTCGCGTATGTTAATTAAAGGTCTTAATGAAAAGCTGCGCGTTATTCCAAAATGGCGTACCACAAAAGCGCGTAAAGCGAGGAGTGCCTGTGCACAGTCTTCTTCTCTCGTTATTCACGAACTTGCTATCTGTGAATCGCATCTGGAACTCTACATGACTGCATCGACGGAGAGAAAGTGATCAGATAAAGTGATGAGAGATAACATGATGCGATAAAGTGATGAGAGAGAAAGTGATAAGATACAGAGATGAGTTATTAAGATAATGTTCATGTATTTGATAAGATTATTTAAGTATCTATTCAAGGCAATTCATAAAAAAACATTTTCGGGGGCCCAATATCATTATCCAAGAAATGTGCTATTCACGAGCATCTCCGGAACGTATCCCTCGCAAACAACGAGAGAAAACTGTACACTCATGAGGAGGAATTTTAAATATGCATGTCTGCTCAAACACAGTAGCTATTTGTGGACACCCCCATTGGGATACCACCGTTTAAAAGGATGTCTCCGGTAGATAACTGAATGAACTGATGCCAATTTTAGAGATTTGTTAACTTTATCTGAACTTGAAAGGGCCCTGCATTGGCACGCACCACAAGTTGCAATGGGCAGGGTGCGTGTGGGGAGCGGTGGTGCAGCGGTTAGCGCAACGAACACGGCGACTCGAGTTCGATTCCCGCTCACGGCCATCACCGGTGACGATTATCTGAATCGGTCCCGGGCCTCCCCTAGGTCGACTCGGCCTCAAATAAGAACCTGTTGTCGTGTGTAAACATCGCCACTGGGGGGACAAAGGCGGCTGGGCGTGGTGTGCCGTGCCGGCCTTCATAGGTGCTCACTAATAGCACTTGCCCCAACAGTCTGTTAAGGCTACATGGGGGATGTCTTTGCCTTTGTTTTTGAACTCAAACACTGCACAACTTGCCCAATGTGCTTCTCTCCACTTTAGAAGTCACACGTCCTTCCACTTGCAATACACAAGAAAATAAGGACTTAAGCGAAGCTGCACTTATTGCCATGGACGATGCGCCTCATTGATACTCGACTTAGTTCATGATGATCCTGTCAAGAAAAGTCCTTTGTGTAGTTCACCAGGTGACAGGACTTGAATGCGTGTATGTACGCAAGTATTCATGGGTGTATGTACAAATGTGTACACGTCTGTTTCAGGTGGTTCTGTAATTAGCCACTGTACTACGACCCGGGCGGGAGCCGGATTCGATTCCCGGTGGTGCACATCAGCGGAGAGTGATCTTTGAACTTGCTCCTGAGCCTCCCCATACGTTGACTTGGCCTTAAATGAGTACCTGGGCGCGGTGTGTAAACATCGACATCGCGGAGACTGAGAGGCGCCTAGGTGTGGTGCAGGCCACAGCACCCCCTTGTATGCCGTGTATTTTTCCCATCATGGATTTGACCATTCGCGCCAAATGTATCGAACATCCAGCTCATTTTGAACAGAGGGCCCAGTAGTACCTTGCACGGGACAATTGTGAAAATAAACAGTCGCAGCCTCTCACCCTCCATTGTTATTCCTTGACCGTACCCACAAGGCAATCCATGGTTCCCAGAATTCACACGCCACAAAATGTGTGCCACACAATGGAATGTTCATCTTCCGGCCCCATCATTTGCCTACAGATATATACACAGAATTCCTTTCCATCCATCTCCATATGAACACAACAATTGTCTAGTCCAGGTGTTGACGACTTGCGGCTCCGGA